GCTGAGCAGAGCCCAGCTACGTGGAGCCACAGGTGAGAGTTGAGTGCCAGCAAGTGGACGCTAGGCGTAGTCTCACCTGCAAGCAAGTGAGCGACCACTACGACCTTCACGTGAACCCACCGCTGACACCCCTACACCCCCCATTATCCATAAACCCAGTAAAATGGTACGATACATTTTCTTAACAGGTACCATTACAACAATGTATTTGCCTCATTATGCTCTAGTATCAATGTTATTATAAGGGCAGTTTCTAAAAAATGTACTTTAAGTTTGTACTTTACAATACCCAATAATCTTAAATGCTTAAAACCTTGACTTTACGGCAGTTTATATTCGGATTCTAATTTTTTTTGCAATTTCAATTAATTACCAAACCTTGATTGGGGTTTAGCTTAGTCATGCATTTACTGCCGACAAAAGTATATAAATGTGTATGAGTACTTGGATATCTTGTTCCTACCATACAAACTTATGAGATGTGCCGTCGGTAAGGTTAAGAACGGGCAATGTGAAATCCATTGTTTTAAATAAAGTAGAAGCTTTGCCCCGCTATAGTTGAAAAATTCTGTATTTTTTTTTAATGTTTAAGTGAGACAATTTATTACCGTTATAATACAAGTATCGGACACATATTAAAAGGCACACACTTCTTAAAATGTCGTCTGCCTGTGTACGTGATGCTAGCCGAGTACAGAATAAATGACAGTCTACGCAAGACCACGGTTTGGTCATCGTTAGATGTCGTAGAACATTATGCAAAGCATGACACATGCAGTTTGCCCTCCAAACTGCCGTGAAATTTATGCGCCTAAAATAAATGGAAGACGTTCACCTTATATAAATGCAGGATGTCTGGACGAGGACCGAATTTGAACACGAAAACTTCTACTGTTGCAAGGTAGCCTGTCGTGTTGAGACCTAAATAATTTAAAAACCTGCTGTTGTCGGGACCTCCAGTCAGCATCCGATCACAATTTCATTACCATCGAAACAAAAGTCATTTAAAACCCTAACGATCAACTGCGAAATCGCTGATGTTCGGAAATATCCTGGTATGACGGTACCGCGGCGACATGTACGCTAATTTGTCTTTTGTTGAGTAGAGTAGCACAGCATTGTTAAATTCAAATGCAAATAATATTTAGAACTTTAGTTCACCAAACATGCCATCAGATACTGTATCAAAAGTCGTCGTTCAACATCGTATATCTAATAGTCACATTTTTTGGGCTACCTAACCGTTGGCACTAACGTGCTTTCGAAGACTTTAAATAATAACTAAAGTAAATCCGTAATTATGTATAGTCTAGTCAGTTCAACTAAGAGATAAGAAAGAAATCGAAAAATCACAGTTCTCCAAAATACTTCCTGGCTTCCCTTTGATTCTGTTCTTATCTTCCGTGGTGTAGACATTCACTTGTCTTGTGATATGATTTTTGGCGCTAAAGAGTGCCAGATAGGCACAAATAATGAGGACGCCCAATGTCATATTAGCATGTTTATGTATTTGCCGTCGACAGACTGAGTGAGAGATAATGAAAACTATTCAATCGCCGACGTCCAGCAACTAGGCAGTATGTCATTCGTTTTATTCAGTCTAAAGTAAAGACATTCCGTTTATTTGAATAAGCGAAAAATAAAAAAAATCATTCTCCTCTTAGTAGATCATGCTCGTAGCTTAGATACACTCCCCTTGAACTTCCCCAACCAAACTAACGAAGACAATAAACAACGTGGACCATATCCACTAGTCATAGTTTGCCGGTTTGCCGGCGACCGCCGCACAATGGTTATTGAGGCCGCAGGTATATTTGTAACTTTGGCCATATGGGAGATAGCTTTTCATCATGTACACTTTGCCTGCCTATGCGGATTCATTTCCATTGCGCGCTTCGATAGATTTAACGTTTCTGGTGGTCTTTAGTTATCCCCAGAAAACAATATACAGAAGAAACATCGTGAGAACCGATTTAAAGTCCCCCCTGACTGCTTCCCAGTGTTCATTTTTACGTAAGGTGTGGGATTTATGCTGAAGACCTAAACTTATGGATACTTAGGACACTGTACGAAACACTTTTACATTAGAAGCCCTAGTGTCTGGTTAAGTTAGTGATAATGTCTTTGAATATAATTCGCATGATCTCTCAAGTATGATTGTAACTGTCTGCGCGTTATATTATATCATAAGGATAACATGTATCGTGACCTTTCGTTCAGATAATGTCATTTTACTTTCTAAAGATTATTACAGACACATGAACTGCCGACGGTTCATCATTACTCATTTTCGATTTACTACAGTCGTCATTGGTAAACTCAAGCTTCTAAAGTGCAGAATTAAGCCTCTTCCTAACATCATCAGATGAGCCTCTTCAACTCTTACGGCATGACAAACTGATCTCCGTTATTGCAAGGCCAAGTTGTGAGTATATCTACCCTCCGCAATACAGAAGTCGAAGCCTGAAAAGCTAAGGCACTCTGGAAATTCATGCCCATCTTTAGGCACTTATGGAGAATCTTCTTGGTATCCAAAATATATTTTAGGATTTGCAGACTGTTCTATACCAGGTGAATGACATTTTAAGGAACTTGTTTTTTTTGCCAGTCGATAAATAACCATACCAGTTTTTCCGAGGCCAAAAATAATCATTTGCTCAAATTCAAGTACCTTCATCACACAGAAAATTCAAGAACGACCTACCTTTAAACAGAAGGACCGCAAGTAGCGAGTTGTTTGTGCATTCTTCAAAAGGTTTTTATGGAGGGCTCGTGGAAGAGAGAACTAGCAAAAGACTCACTTTCTCTCCTAGAAACTTCACTATCTGTTAAATGTCTATAGATGGCATCTTTTAGTTATTTGGAAAACGACTTCACCTCTACTACGCGCGGGCCACAAGGATGGGAACACCACAGAGGCATCTTAAAGAGACCTTGTCCGTATGTCTTGGGGCTTTAAACACCCCAAAATCTCGCGGTGATGTTATAGGGCTGTTTTGTTAAACAACATTGGCTGGTAGGGCTTAGAAAATTGCATTGTCAAACACCTAGGTAGTAGATGATTCACTGTGAGCGTGGTTTTGCTTTGCTTGGAAATCAGGGCGTTTTAACAGCAGTCGTTACTTGTGAAAGCAGTTCACGTGGAGATGGTTCGATTTCGTCCCCTAATTGCGCTTGACGGCCCAACCGACTACATACGTATTTTGCTACTGCTCGATCATTCCTTGCAAATTGAGGATATGGAGAACTATCTGATACTCCTAATTGTCAAAGGAAATTCGTGGTCAGGTACATTTTTGCAAGAGGACATAAGAAGTAAATAACTAACTAGAAGTATCAAAAAATCTCTATTGAGTCCTTTGTTTAACACGAGGATTATGCTACGTTTCCGCGTGGAAAGACTATGCTCGTGGTAAATAATTCTCCCTAAATGAAGAATAGCACAACGTATAATTAGGTGTTGAACCCTGCACGCAATGAATATCAAGACTGGTGCTTTCTATTGGCAGAAGAAGCAGAACGACAACGGTCAGGTCTTACACATGATGGAACATTATTTTTAAAATAAAGGCCCTTGCATAGGATCGAGTTTTGAAATTATAGTCATACTATCGAAAGTGCTGCTGAACCAAACGGGCTGTGAGGTGTTACGTCAGGTCGGTTATAAGGGACTGTCGACGGGGTCTTAGCATATCAGACCCAGCAAGACCCGCTGTTAAAATTAACCCGGGGGACGATGTCTACTCATTGGTGCGCATCAAAACCATTACGTATGCAATTAATTCTTACTAGCCCAGCGCATGTTTTAAACATAACCTTAATCGCAGAGCTTGAAATGATCAGCATAAATACAGTGGCAAGTAAATTGAGGATGAAATAATACTAAAGAAGGGTGCAGTCGCCATGCTACCGCACACCTATGAATATTAACGGTTCCCCCTTCACCTGTGCGCTTTCCGCGTGGCCAATTACTCCGCCTAGGCGAAGTCTCAGCACCGAGTATGGAATGGGAAGATTATTGCACTTGCTAATGGACTGGAGGTCAGTAAACCATGATTCCAGTAGCTCCCGGCTCACGGCTGTGAGCTCTTGGGAGAATTTCAGCCTCTTCAAATTTGAACATGTGGCCGGAACCCGTCAAATGAGCCGCAACTTGAGAGCTAGCGTCATCTCTCCGCACCGCTACAGCGTGTTCGGCCATTCGCGTTTGGAGTTGTCTTCCGGTTTCTCCGACGTAGTTGCTTTGTCCGCAATTGCACCAGATCCGATAAACGACTCCAGACGTTTCTTGTCGTGTAAGTAGGTCTTTCGGCTTCATTAACTGACGGTTGTTGATTGCCTCCGGTCTGTGTGCAACTCCAACCCGAAGTGGTGCGAGAAGGCGT